TGAATTTTGTCTATGATAGACATAGTTCATTATAATAATAATATGCAGAATTAAATATAAACTTTTCTAGCAAAGCTATGCACGGGCAAACAGAGCGTGATGAAAACAAAGCTGGGGGTTATCGGGCGCAGGTTGGCGCGGGAGTGGTGAAGTACATAACAAGTCTTCACTGAGGTATCTGAAGACAGCTAAAAGAGCTTGTGCACCAGTTTGTCAGTGATTCTTTAGCAAAAAGGGCCCTGTATGAACATAGCACAGGATTTTTCTACAGAAATTCAAAATAAAATTCACTTTGGGGGTGGATTCATTCCCAGATAAAGTCAGTCCTGGTGTGTGAGGCCAGAGATAAGCTAATCATGTTTGCCTTATTTTGAGCCCTCTTGAATTTGCCGTATTGTGATTAGGAACGAGTAGAAGAGAAAAGGGGAGAGGAAGGAGATGCCTTTAAAATACATAGTGGAAAATACGACTTCAAAGGGAAAAGCAAATACATAAAAATTGTGGAGGAAAAAAAAGATGGAGGAGGAGAAATCCCAAGAGAATACTGGCTGCATGTGTGTGTGAAAGTCATTTCTTCAGATTTAGCAGCACCCAGCTTTTACACCTTGTAATTTAAATAGATTGAAAAGATAACGCTGAAGACTAGGTTAGATGTTATCCTGTTAATTAAGTTGCCATTACGGAGTTGTTACAAGCCCACCAAAAATTGTTCCCCATTTAAAGTGATTGATACCTCCTGAAGAGAGGAGTAGCCACCCATGTCAGCTCTAACATAGAGCAGCACCTTCTCCTTAAGGAGAAAGCTCCTGTCTACCCCGTGCTTTTCGACTGAGTCATCCTGGGGGAGAAAAAACCATACTTCAAAGTGCAAAATAATGGATCAACTAATTAATTTTTTTAAATTGCTAGAGAAGTTTCTCTAAATTAAATTCCGTCCAGTTTCTTCTCATCTCCCAACGTGAATCCTTCACTTCTCTATCTAGACCCACGATTTCATTGAATCTAGTTTGGATTTAGCTGTCACTAAATTACTGACATTACTGACATCGCTTTGCCTATATGACATGTCGGCACCATGGTCCCAGTTAGATGATGTGAACCCATATATTTCAGTACTCTGGTGACAGGTACCATTAAAAGGCATTTTTTTAAGAGTGGTAGTCTGATAGTTCAATCTCAAGATTCAGTGGCCTCCTTTATGCTTTTAAAATAAATTAAACAGTGCCAGAACTGGTTCTCTGGCCCTAAGACCGATGGGACAATCTGACCACGTGTGCAAAGCTGAACTCTCGTAGCTGTGTTCACACTGCTGAGTGACAATGTGGGTTATCTCAGGCCACTGGGGATCATCTGGAAAGGTTCAAGCCCAAACCCTACCAGGGACCCTTCTTATTGTTAAAAGCATAAAAATATCCTACCCAGTTATTGCTTGTGCCCGTGCCCCGGCACTGCTTACAGGGACGGAGGCAGACGTGGTTCTGGGTTGCAGTTGGGGGTCTGCCCCCCACCAGTTTCAGCTCTGCCAGAGCCTTGTTGTGTGACCTTGGTCGGTAACTTCGGATGAGATTAATTCCATTTAATGTTGACTAATGATGAGGGTGTCTAATTAAACTAGTCATGTGGGCTCACTCTCTGATCAGAGAAGGAAGAGAAAGCAAAATCAGAAGGTGAATCATCCCGTTTTAAGGCTGGTGTCAGAGACAAATGAGATGAATTGCCCTCTGGAAGTAGCTATTTCTTTCCATTAACTGTAGAGGAAGTCTACATTAGAAGAGTTTAGACTAGATGCCTGATTTATGAATGGCTAAAGTTAAGTAAAATTAGTCCTGACCTTAATCTCTATGCATGCCTGTTTCTCCATATGTTGAATGATAGAAATAACACCTCCTGCGCCTCGCATTCAAAGGCGCCATTGGGCGAGGAGCATCCTATAACTGCTTTGGAAAGAAGTTAAACCTAGGAGCAAAAATACAACAAGTAGAGAAGTAAAGCCTTTACTCTTGAAACACGTCAATGACAATATGAGCAGTACCAGTTAGGGCATCCTGTTGCTTTTGCCATTTTTCCCCTTTACATTTTGACAACCGAGCACCCATAAATGACTTTTCCCAATGCGATCATACGGCACGAGGGCAGGTAGCCTGGTTTTGGGGAGAGAAGTAGGAGCACTAAGGAAGGCTGACCATGCAAGGGAGTGTAGGACCCAGTCTTGACCAGCAGCTTTAAAGGTTTTCCTTGCGATACTGCTCTTCCCAAATGACAGTGACGATTTAATTTTTGGAAAATCTCCCAGAGGAATGAAAGCTAATGAGTAACTGTGACAGAGTTAAAGAAAAAAATAAGGGGAGAAGAAAAGCTTGCATTTTCTTAGCAAAAATCCAGAACATATAAACCAGGCATGGAATAATTGTCCCGTTTGATAACTTGTACTTACATATGAGGCTTGCTTTTGGAAAAGAAAGCATCCCCCTTTAACTACCTAGTGTAGTTAAAGCAGCAGAAAAAAACTTGAAAAAACCAAAAAGACAAAAAAGACCTTGTGTGGGTGTCCTCATAAGTGCTTATTTTGATCCAAATTGCAACATATTACACATCTGCATGGGCACAGTTGTGTTCAATAAGGCTTTCATCAGCACAACCATGCCCAAAACACAAATCACCCCACCGATGTCGCTGTGTTATTGGGGGTAGCTGAGATACCTATAAATCCGTTAAATCTGATAACAGGTCCTTAGAGGCCATATTGGGGTTTTTTTGGGGTGTGTTAAATTACTAAATCTTGTTATTAACGCTTTTATTTTATGATTTGCTGTTTCCAGGGCACAGACAGAAGCTTGATGACTCTAAACCTAGTTTGTTCTCTGAACGCCTCAGTGATTTAGGGCGCATTCCTCATCCCAGTATGAGAGTAGGGGTCCCGACCCAGAGCCCACGGCCCTCTCTGAACTCTGCACCAAGTCCTTTTAATCCACAAGGACAGAGTCAGATTACAGGTAAGAGACAGAACCGTAGGTTTGACTTGCACAGGCAACGGTAGTAATTGCTTATGGATATTTGTGTCTCAGCTGCAGTCAAAGAGGCTGTTACAGGGCGAGAGATGTGTTCCAAGCAAAGCTAGGTGGGAAGGGGCTTTTTCTATAGCGTTTGAAGCTGAAAATGTCTTTCTTTTTCTTTTTTTTCCAAATACCTTTTTGCCATAAATCCAAAATAGCCCAAAATAGTCAATCTGGGTAAATTGAGTAGGAATCCGGTGAAATTCTAACTGCCACATTGCTCTGCCCTGTCCCCCCGCGTGTGCAACGGTACATATTAGAATGAACGTTTTTATTCAGTGTTTTTATTTTGCACTGGTGTTGAGGGAAGCGGGCAGCATTTAATGGCCTTTCTAGCAGAGTAATAATACAAACTTCTCACGTGGCGGTTTCCTTCTATTACCAGTGCTGACCACTGTCACAATAAACGAACTGGGTTATGGAGAAATCTCCAAAGGTTGCTTGTGAGGGTTGTATGCAACATTTATGATTGCATGCTGAGAGACAGATTTCATTGTGCTGAGAGACATCATAAAGTACCATGTGTCACAGATTATAAGACCGAAATAAGAAGTTTAACTGCAGCTATGCCAGAAGTTTGCAACAAAACTGTGAAGCCTACAAAATAAACCGATTTTGTCATTTTTCTAAATTCAGAGCTGGTTAAATTTTTCAAAAGAGTTTCAAAACAACCTCTACCTAATTTTGGCCATTTCTACACTTAAAATTTGTGCTGATGTATTTGTGTCTATCCAGGATGTGAAGAGGTGTTGCTCCTGACCCATTCATTTGCTAGAACTGTTGGAGGACTTCACCTAGATGCAAGTCCCATCAACAAAACTCTTGGCTTAATTTACTAGACCAGTTTAAAACTCAGTTTTGCTGCTATAGTTGCATCCATACCAGGAGACCTTTGCCAATCTTGTATACCAGTATTCCTTTACTGGTAAAGCACTCCTAGTATAGACATAGTTTTGAGTCAACCTAGGAAGATTTCTGGTTTCATGTTTCAAGTGGTTTTGACATGATACCAGCTGAAACTTAGCGGTTTTAACAAAGTGTTGTGGCTTTCTTCTTCTTTCTTTTTCTTCTTTCTTAAGTTCAACTTGTTTATTAATTTGCAGTAAGGAAGAGAAGTAAGTGGGTTAATTTGAACCCAAAGCACTCAGAGAATTGAAACGAAAAAATTGTTCCCATGAGCTGTGGCAAAGTTCTCCCAGACGTAGAAGCCTAGCTTTAACTAGTGTAAAATGTTTATAATATATTAAATATGTCGCTAGTACCCATTAAAAGGTACCTGCTGCCCACCAGCTTCCCAGAGCAGGTTTTTTGGCTGGGCTTAGTGTTTTGTTGGTTGGACATGTGAAATCAGGGCTGTTGTGCATATCATTTTCTCGGTAAGAACTGCCAAACTAAAGCCCAATATTTTTTCTAACCTATTCTCTTCTGTCTGGTGGTGTTTGGGGATGTAGTTCCCGAGAAAGCAGGGGAAAAATCCAGGGCTGCAGTCAGCTTTTTTCCTTCTTCCTTGTGCCTCCATAGTTTACCTATTGTGCAACGCTATATCTAGGAACGAAGGAGGGTGAAATTCTTCCTGACCCCATCTGGTGATCAGCTTATGTCCTGAAGCACGAGAACTGAGATCCCCTTGTAATTTTCTTCCTAGCTAAGTTTAACCTCATGTGCTGCTCTCATTCACATAAATGCCTCCTGTAGAAAATGTTCTGCTGGGTTTGATTAATAGAATACTTCTCTGCCTCGTTACAAAGCAGCAGCAGCAGCATTTACAGATCTGGGAGGTGAAAACTTTAGATGAGCTTTAAATAAGCCTGACTGGAAACAAAGCTGTGTGGCACTCGCTGTCTTCTCTGCAAATGTAAGAGTCAGCAGTTCAAAGTACCAGTGGAGACTTCATCGGGAGAGGGAAGATGTGGTGCTGGCAGGGCAGAGGGAAGCGAGCTGAACCGAGGAAGGCAGGCAGACTTTTCCCATCTATTGTGGATTATTATTGCTTTTCTTGCCGGATAAACTCACGGTTGTGGGATACTTTAGAATCCCAAATTGCTCTCATTTCCCCCCAAAACAGTGAGGACTTGGCTGCTTATTAAAGTTTGCAGTGAATATGTGGTCTGATACAGTATTTGCCATGTTATTCCCCACCCTTGTCTCTTCCTCGCTTTAGAAAAGTCAAACGCCCAAGCCCTCAAAGGCTACTCGTTAGCTTTCTGGGAGCCCTCCCATTTAATAAGGCGATTAGCGTGAGCATGTTACATCGGTGCGAGCTCTGTGAATTGCGCTGGCTTCCCCACAAGGCTTTTTGGTGCTCTTCAGGACGTTGATTGTAATCTGTAAAGCTCTACACGCTTTGATGTTCCACCAAAGCGCCGGGATGCTTTTTGCGGACAGTCCCTCCGAGTTCTTCTGGGATGAATGGATGCTGGTTGCCACACAAACCGTGCCAATGAGAGACAAAGTTGATGCCGTAGACGAGGCACCTCTTTGATCGGGTGTTAGGTGACCATGGGAAATTGTTAAACATCCGCCTGTTTGGTGCGGTAGTGGGGAGTGAGCTGTTTGGGCTGTCCGTCTCCACCAGTTTCCTTGTTGTGGTGCGATATTCAGTGGGAATTACCCACTGACTTCGTAACATGGTCACTGGGCTGGTATGGCTTGGGTATGTAATAAAAGGAGAATAGACCCTTGTCTGAAAAGCAAGGATTTTTTTATTACCTTTATTGGAATTAACCAAGCATTCCTTTAGAAATACCTTTGTTTCTTAATCCTTTTACCTAGCAATTTAGGGAAAATAATTAATTCCTAATAACTTTAACAGTAAATACAGGTTTCCTATGACAAAATTCATATTATTGCTAGTAAGCACATAAACTGTTTTTGTTTCACTCCACTTCGGGTCTTGCATAGCTATTGCATGATTAAACAGAAATAATATTTAAAGCCTGGCTGGCCCACACCTGAGTCTGAAAGAACTCAGCACTTTGGGGTTCACCCTTATATTTCTTTTCTCTGTCTGGGTTGTGTTTATTTTCCTAGAGTATCAGAGCACAGGTTTTACAAAGCACGGCGCGGTCCTAAACCTACCACAGGACCGGGCTGTGGCAGCACAAGGCACAGAGTTGCCCTTATTCGACATGGCATTTTAACTAGGATTCTGCAAAAGCAACAGCGCAGGGTCATTAAAAAACAAATCGTCCAATAAGCAGATGCTTTTGCTGAGGCAATGCAGATTCAATTTGAACCCTGCTTGCTGCCCGTAAATCAGGAATCCTGTCTGTTCACATTTGGATACTGGTATATTTGCTTTTTTATTTCTTTTCCCTTTCCCTAACGGCACTCGCACAATTTGCTCACGTATCCGATTACACCCCCGTTCAGACACTGAGCTGTTGCATCAGTGTTTCAGTATGAAACGAGGAAAACTGCTGTTTTTCTCAAACGCGACCGGTGAGGATTAGCTGCTATCGGCCAGGAAAAGCCACGGGTGTAATGGCAGGAATGTGGTCGGCGTGAGGACCCCGGGCTGGGCTGCGGGGACTGCGAAGTGGGAGTTAAGTGAGGTTTCATGCTCCATCACCACCGTGGCACCGTCTGATCTATAGGCAACCTGTGACTTTCATCACTGAAATAACAGCACTCAAAAGCAGGTCCCGTGAAATCTTTTTTTTTTTTTTTTCCCCCTTTTCCTCTTCTCCCTCCCCTGCCCTTCACCATGCACTTCAGCAACGTTACGCTTCAGTTTCTCATCGGTTTTAGGGTTGTAGGAAGCAGATTTACAGGCTTCAGAGCTGGCTTACCTGGAAGTTAGTGGGGGCACCCATCTCCACTGGTTTCAGGGGCTGGTTTCAGGGACAGTGTGAACTGAGGCCGCTGGGAAGGCCACAGGCAGAAAGTACCTTCGACTCTCAGATGGAGGATGAGGATGGTACCAGCTGGGCCCTCCTTAATTCCCCCGTTCAGGACTTGGAGGGAATGGGCTGGATGCTGCCGTTTTGCAGGGTCAGGGAGAAGGCAGAAAGCCGTGCTCATCACAGGCTTCTCCTGGGCTCTGGATATGAAGCTCTGCAGCGTCTGCCTCAAAGACCAGTGTCCGTTCTCCCAGACCATCAGCAGCAGGACAGGTTTGAAACAGAAACTGTGTAGCTGTTACTAGACCGGCACTATGCAAGTGCTCTGCCAGGGGCTGGCTGTGTTTTACCTGGGACCAGCAGCACTCTGAAGCACGCACCGGTTTGTAGCTGGTGCACATCAATCTGAGAGCCCATCAGGCAAAGTACGTGGTTGCCCGGAACAGATAAATTAGAAATAGCCCAAGTAGGAGGCTTGTGGAGTGAATTATGCCTTCAGCCCACTGGAACGTGGAATAAAAGCTGCAAGATTCAGCAGATGAGGTGGTGGAGCTGGGATTTCTGCTGCCATGAACACAAGGGTGGCTGCAGTCTGCTGGATTTTATACAAATTGATTGCATCCTTCAGGCGACTGGCAAGTTGCCACTGCAAACCTCCGTTCGGTAAAGCTTGGGTCCCTCCTATTAAAGTATCCTTTCAACTTCTCTCCCCCCCCTTTACAATTTAGTTGCCCTACTGGCGTGACTTGTTCAGGTTTTTTTGTTTTGTTTTGTTTTGTTTTTTCCTTTAGAAATGTGACTCTTGGTGGGGTGGGAGGAGAAATGGTTTCAGAGGTTCTTCAGGCCAAAATCTGGTCTCAATTACATTTGTGTCCATTGGGGTGTAACTCCACTGGATTTTACTTCATTGATTGAACTGGGCAATCTGGATCAAGCCCTGGGCTTTTGAATATTTCTAAGAAATAGTCAGAGAAGAGAAGGAGGTCGCATTTTTGTTGTTGTTGTTTTGCTGGGGGCGGCGGGGGGGGTTCTTACAACAATAGTTGGGTTACTCATGCAGAAAGTCATCTTGCCTTTGTTAAGATCAGAAGTGAGGATATTTGCTTTAAGTGTTTACCAAAGATAGCTCCAGACAGCTTGGGTTTCGGTATTGGCAGTAGCACTAATACAATCAGCAGCAGCCAGTGCTAGAGCCGATGGCTGGATTTAAATGAGAGTGGTTTTGCAAAGTGCATGCACGCATGTGATGTTGGGGTGTTACAGACAGTACGCCAAGGAGCTGCGAGCCTGCGATCATGCTCTGATCATGTAACTCGGCTTGGAAAATGGGATTTTTTTTTTTTTTTCTATAGTAAATCTGTGTGCTTCATAGTCCAGTGCCAAAGCAGTGGAAAAACATTCTTCAGGGCTATTTACGGGTCTTTTTCTTCTGTCCATTGACACTTCAGAACATTTCCATTGAAGGAAGAGAAGTCACATTTCTGGAGAGCTAATGTCATCGGTGGGAGAATGGGTCACTAGGGATTTTTGGGGGGGGGTGTTTTTGGTTTTTCTTTAGTTTTATACAGCGCATCCAATCTTAGACTGATTTTTAAGACCACTTATTGTCTATTGATGCAGTCAATCACAGACCACAAGGGTCAAGAACCGTGTGTATCTCCCACTGGCTATAAATGTGGCAATAAAACCTAGACACAAAATAACTTGCAATACTCAATATTTCCTGCTTTGGCGAGGTTTACCTGGAAGTGCAAACAGGACAGAACTGTTTGTGCATTAGTTTAGACCTCGCCCCGCTGACTTGCTTCAGCCGAGCTGTGCCCAGGCTTTCTTGGCATAGACACGATATGCCCCGTTGTGAACGAATATGCTGAAAGCTGCACTTTTCTTCACACCCACGCAGGCGTAACAGAAATGTTTACAAAAGGAGGACTGCTCTTAGTAATCACTCCAAAATTTTCAAGTGCAAATGCCAACTCAAAGTGGCCCTCTGCCTCCTTTGCTGTTGTTGAATGCTCTGCTAGCCCTTCCCCATGGCTGCTGTATGGGAAGGTGGGAGCCTTTCTCCCGAGCTTTTTGCTGTATTTTTATTTTAGCTTTTTCCCGTGTTTTGGACAGATTCTTTTAGGGAGGAATCCACATTTGCTTTGTCTCAGACCTCTAAGGTTTTTCATCTGTTCTGGGCTTTTCACAATTGGGAAGATGTGCTGTGCCTGCAGAGCACATGGTGCTTTGGGCGACAGCACAAAGCCCTTGGCCCGCAGGGACCTGGCGGACACATGTGAGCCCCCCGGCCAGAGCAAATGGAGAAGCTGGTCTTTGGCATAGCAGACCAAGGAAAACCTCTCACAAACCCACTTGTAGCTTCATCCTTGCTGGTACGGGCTAAATACCCACTTCACCCCTTCTGTGCTCAAGCGAGGAGGAGGTGACGCACCTAAGGACATCATTGTGCTTCCCCCACAAGCACCCACGTGGCTCTGCCCCAGGAGCACTAGCAGGCACCTGCCCACGGCGCCCCTGGCACCCTCCTTCCCCCCCCAGGAGGTTTGGTTTAGTTTGGTTTGGTTTGGTTTGGTTTGGTGGTGTGTGGGACCAGAAGAGATGGGTTGGTTTGGCCTTGGTGGCTGCAGTCTCCGCTCTAGCAGCATTGCAGGGAACATCTGCTTTTGGGACAAAAGGGTGCCATGTGACACCCAGCTGCATGTCCGCCTTCGAGGCCTAGACAGGGTGGCATTTTACTCTGGGGATTGGGCAACGCCGCTGAGCGGCGAGGTTTACCCTGTGGGCTAGCAGATCACCTGCGACTTGGCAAGGCGAGGGCCTTTCACCGCTCTCTCTCCCGTCTGTGCAAACCTCGGCTGCTGTCAGTGAGCGGAGGCTGGTTTTAGGGCATTTACTTCAGGATCCGGTGAAACTCCTATCTTCACTTTCCAAAGATAACGCTTGAAGCCAGTCAGCTCCAGGGCAAAATCCCTCACCCTAACTCCACCATGAGCTCAGGGCTGCCTTGGTGCGGAGGAATTGCAGTGACCCTCCAGCCTGGGGTACCGTGTCCTTCTCCTCTGTCGCTGAGCTCTGATGCATCATCTGATGTGGAGTTTGGTTGAGGATTTTCCTCTTTATTTTCCTGTTCCCTGAGAACCCATGATCTCATTTCCCTGGAGCTAAGTTGCTTGCACTCTAGTTTCAGAGGGGCTCGAGTTTGCATCTGAATATCTGGGTTGAAAGTTTCCAGCTAAGCACCCCATTTTGTGAGTGAGGTACTCAGAGAGTGCCTGCACCTTAAAGAAATGACTGACTAAATATGCAAGACATATTGGGGGAATGATTTATCATTATTGTCCTATAATTTAGGTCAAAATTGTGGCAAATGGAGTTTGGGTGAGTTACCCAAGTCCAACAGGAGATCTGCTTCAGGGCTAGAGGCAGTTAAGTCACAACATAGTGTTTTCACTAACAGTCCAACTTCTTTTTTTCTCTTTCTCTAAAATACTTTGCAGTTTAAAATCTCACAGTATTGGACTCATGGAGAGCTGAAATCAAATATAGATATATAGATATATAGATATATAAAAGAAATGTGGTAATGCAGTGCTGAGGTTGGGATAAGCTATAGAAGCCATGTATAAATTTAAGTTAAATTTTGTAGGAATGTATGATATACTTTTGGGTCAACTGGTGGTCCATGCAGCCCCATATTCTGTCTCTGATAGCGCAGTATGAGACACTGTTTGGAAAGACCACATGAGCCTTTGAAAAACCACTTTTTGCCATGCATCCTTCTTGTGTCCTCACAGGCATTGACACTTGTTAGATTAAGGACGTTAGGTGTAAAACCAACTCTGGCACGGGTGTTCAAAGGGGTGAGGGTGCCAGAGACGCTCAAGGTCTCCTCATGCCATGAGGATTGCACTACCAGAAGGGCATGAACCTCCAGAAGGCAGCTCCTTCCCTGAGGTTTTCCCCATCTTAGACCAAAATCCTGTGAAAACATCCTCTGCTGTGATTTTTTTTTTCCTAGCCTTTACCTGCGATATAATTTCCTTCCAGCATTGGACCTGACCTAAAAATCAAAACTTTAAAGGACTCTGTTTTGAATTCGGAAGCAGAGATTGAAAAGCTCTTGGAGTTTGAAGGAGCTTGGATTTGAGATTGTGCTCCTGACACATCATTAATTTTAAGATTGTTTTCCCAGCAAGCCTAGGCTTTCCGTTCCCAGTTGAAGATCATTTACCATGGACTGAATGGTGAATTATAGTAGTGGAATGAGGCAGAGAAATATGTCGATATCAGATATAACAACGAGCAGTCAGTCAGATTTGAACCTGTGCCAATCTATACAACCCTAGCCTTGAAATTGTTAAAACAAAGAAGTTCATTACATTTAATGATCAAGTGTCCTTCGGATTTCTGCGGAGTTTATGTTAACCATTTATATTGCTCAGCTCTAATATAAATGGCAAACTCCGGGAAAATCCTCTTAAAATTAAATTGGAAAGTTCGAGGTTTTTATATATATCTATATAGTTATTTTGCTTCAAGGAAGTATCTGCTTTCCAGACATCTCTTCAAACAAATCATGTCTGAACAGAAAAAATAAACAAGGAATAGCTGAAACTACAAGGTTTTGCTGTGTGGAAGAGCAGGGAAAGGAGTTAAAAAAAGAAAAAAGAAAAAAAAAAAGTTGAATTTCCTGAAAAAGTGCCTTTGCTTATGCCATGTGGCTATCACATTGCTGTCTACAAAGTAGGGTCTTAGCACCGTGCTCTGATCTAGCAGGTTCTCCAAATTGAGTGGACCTGATGTGCCTCACTGAAAATACTGGGGAGTTTTTGGAGGGATGTGCTACAATTTCTGTGAGCCAGTTCAGAAATATTTTTCTGCTTATCGTGCAGCACCCAAAACAAACTTTGGGGTTGAATGTGCTTTGTTTTTATTGATGTAAAGAAATGAAAATAATAATTTATGAGGCATTCAGTGGTATCTTTATCACCAGTTATTAACTGAGAGCAAGTGGTTTATATATGCAAACACCCGTGAGTAAAACCAGGGCTCCCTCTCTCTCATTTAATGCAATCCACCAGCTCTTCAGCAAAAAATAAACTGTATTTATCCTTAAAATCATTTCCTCCATAGTGAGCTGCAGCAAGTATATCAAAAGGCATCATTAGCTTCCGACAGTTATCCCGAACCACTGGGTTTCATATTGTTGTAATTGAGGTGACTGTAGGTAATTGGGCCAGCATCCAAATGTGACATTTTTGGACGGATGCTGATAAGATTAATGACATTTTCCTTCTTGGATAGCATTTTCAGCACTGAAAACACTACTGTGTAATGTTTGAACTGGATAACAACTTGACAGGCATGCCAAGTGCTGACTGTAGAGTCTCCCCACCTCTGAAGTCCCCTTCCTAAGCTCAGACCTGGGTCTCATACTTAACGTCTGCTTATCTGTCTGGATCCACGAGGACTAGCATGTCCTGGTACAACACGTTGTTAGACCTGGGCGAGAGACACCAGGAATTTGCAGCACAGCTGCTAGGTCTTTTAAAACTCTGCTCAGTGCTCTGTTCATTCCCCTAAAAAATTGTTATGGGGAGGGAAAAGCAGAGAGTGAGACTTGAAGGGGTTGAGTCCTAGAGGAGCAGGTTGTGTGTCGTTACATTCTCATAGCACTGACACGTGTATTTTCAGTAATCATCCCGCCTCTTTCAATTAGGCTGTTAATGCCTTAAAATTTTTCTTCCCTTTTAAAAAATTGACTCTGTTTGTTTGTTTGTTTGTTTTTCCCTAGACCCCAGGCAGGCACAGTCATCCCCGCCATGGTCCTATGACCAGTCTTACCCATCCTACTTGAGCCAGATGACTTCACCGTCCATTCACTCCACAACTCCCCTGTCCTCCACTCGAGGCACAGGACTTCCAGCCATCACCGATGTGCCCAGACGCCTCTCAGGTAAAGACTGTGTTTTGCCTAAAACAATTATGCAGATAGGAACAAGACTGGCAGAGGCTGCCTCCGTGGCCTCAGATAAACCTTCGTAAGAAGAGCAAAGCTCAGTTGGTGATGACAGGGTTACTGCATGGCAGGCAGGAGTCAAAGTCCCTTTTTTTTCGGAGTGGAAGAGCTGCTGTGTTGCTCTGAGCGTGTATCATTTGAATGCTTCTAGGTCCATTTCAGATCAGACTATTTTTAAATCGTGAACCTGATTCTATGAACAAATTCTCTCTTTTTTTTCCCCTACAAGAGGATGTTTGCTTGCATGTTTTAAAGTAATTGTGATATTCTCTATTTTTTTGGTGCTTTACTTTCGTGGTGTGTGTGATGTTGGGCATCCTGACAAATAGATGCCTTTATTTCTTCAGTAGTTAAGGCTAAGGTTCATTCTCCTGAATTTCAATCCAGTAGCTCAAGAAAGCCTATTTCCTTAGTTAATGTGTACTTAAGATGCCTATCAGAAACTAGCTGAGTCACTTTAGGGTAAAGATTGGACAAATTGTGCTTTGGAATGATGCGGGAGAGAGGAAATACATTTAGGAACACAGACAAGGCGGCAGCGAGGAACTGAGACTTTATTTTTATCAAACAAATGTACATTTACATAGCGTGCAATTCATCTCTAATGGTCTCAGTGATAAAACCATCTGTGTGAAGCAATCTGATTGCCCGAAAGTAAGATAGCGCCGTCATGGCACACAGTCACCTTGTATATCTTGCCAAAAATGAGGAACCTTAGGGGAGGGAGGCTAAGTATTAAAACTCCAACCTTGCAAGTGTGGAAATATTAGCAGCGTATGCCAGAAAAGCATGTGTAATGTAAAGAAAGCCTTTATGATTCATTAATGAAAACCAAAGAATCAGTCTTATTACATCTATTTTTTGCATGTTTGCAAGATATTATTATAATCTTGGATGCTGCTGCCATACACCTGTTTGACTCGCAGCCAGGTGAATTTCTTGCTGTCGTGTTTTCCCCTTCCACGAGCTCGTAGCGCTGGAAATGTTGATCACTCCACTGAGCTGCATCACTGACAAGCTGAACTTCAGCCAGCAGGCATGTAGGATTTGATTAGCGTAGACTCCTTGATTTCTTTCATCTTGGAGGAGGGAAGCTTTGTTTCTCAAACAAACAGCTGCAAAAAAAACCCCCCTCTGCGGTCCTAGCGCGCTCTGCCTTCTCAGAGATACCAAACATCTCCATGAGGGTTGGAGGGTGGTGGAGCAGGTTCCTGCGAGCTCTCTGTGCAATGCGCTGACTTGCTTCAAAAAACTCGATCTGCTTGATGCTGAGGAAATGCTTTGTTTGGCCCGAAACAGGTTCCCTTTGAGTCGGAGCCTCCTGACGGTCTGTGTGTTGTCGAATGGGTTATTTTTGCAATTGTGCCCCCAGCCATACCTCCAGGAGAGGCTCCTCTGGGACTGCGGCAGCTGTAGCACCAAGTACTTGCCCTGCAGCCCTTGCTTGTCTGTGTGTATTCAGACGTGAGCGCCTGGCATGTGGGCACAGGCAGAATGACTAAAAGACCTGGCTGGGTACATTATGTGGCCGCCGACTGAACTTTTCTGCCGTACTCTGCAGCCGGTTGCCTTCGCGCTTCTTAACGGGGGCTCGATCGACGCCTCCGCAATGCTCTTACCTTTTCCCAGCGTGGGGATCTTGCTTCCAGTTAGATTCAAGATTGAAAAAGGGGGGCTTTGATCTTCCACCAGTGCCAGAGGTTGTCTGCGGTGTTTGCTGACGTTCAGAAATACAGAGCGGCGTTCCCGGGGGGGGAGGACGAGCTGCGATGCTCAGGCTGCAAACCCTGCGGTTCCTCTCAAGGGTTTCTACCTGGCAGTTCCACGGGGAGGGAGGGCAGGATCCGACTCCCTTTTGTGTATAAAGTAGAGAGAGAAATGCAAGTTTAAAGCTGCCCCTTGCAGCAAACAGTTTATCCCTCGCACACAGAGAAACGCGAATCTCCACTCAGTTCCTTGATACATCTTTCAGAGGAGAACAGAGCTTTGATGGGGGGAAAAAATGACTGCTAAGAAACACTAAAAAACATTAGAAAACTTCAGGCACCTCCAGTGCATGAGGGAGAAATTAGAGTTTTACAAGGCCTTGAATAAAAACAAACTTTGCTTTCCGATACAGTGGCAGAAATCTGATTATCAAGGCTGTTAAAAGTATACAAGGTAATTTTAATGAATGCCATATTTACTGCCTGTTGCTTAACATCATGCAGGAGGAAAAATGGGTAAAACTTCCCCCTTAGGCCTTGGATGTCACACCTACAGGCACAGGACTTCCTACCTGCCACAATTTCACATCACCCAGCCTTTCCACAGGCTTCCCTGGCTCTGCCTAGACAGCTTCTTAAGTTGTGCTCACCCAAACATTGAAAATATACCATCTAATAGAGCAACGAGTCCTTCAAAAGAGTGATTCCTGGTTGTATTGTCAGTGGCAGCCCTCAAGAGCTATTTCTGATGGTACTCCCATGACCAGAAACCCATCCATCCCATGGCCAAAACCATTGGTGTTCCTCCCCGTCCTGGGATGGGTACATCTCTTGGGGATGAGGACGCTTGTGGTTCAATCCCAGATTAGGCTGAGCATCAGAAGAGGTTTGGGGCTATAGGACAGGCGGTGATGGGGGACTGCCGTAGCAGTTCATGCAGGTCTGCGTCCCACGGGAGAGGGGAAAAGGGCAGCAGGCTGCAACCCCGAGGAGTTACTCGGGCAGGCTGGTGTAATGCGGCCGAACTGGTCGTGTCAGTGGTCTAGACTGATTTCTTTGCACAACTGAAATGTTTGCATGCATGCTGCAGGCACGTGCAAATGAGTCCCCGCGGCTGTCAAACTTCCAAGTATTCATCTTTTATTCTCCAAATAGGGACAGGTGCTGTATCTGCAGTGTCGGACAACTAATTAACGATGTGTCACACATATTTGGGCAGTATTCAACAGAAAAACAAAGCAAAAAAAGATTATGTGGCATCACTCATGCAACTTTTGAACCAATGATCTCTCTGGTGCATAAGTCTCATGTTCATATCAAGAATAAATAAAAAATAAGCTCACGAGGCCGTGCAGTTGACTTTTACCTTATTGCACCAACTCAGTCATAAAAAGAGCAGGATTCCCCATATTTTATTAAAATATCTGTCCAGACTTCCCCAGAAGGCAGTGAAAGTTGGTGGCCCAGCAGATTAATATTCTTAATTAAATAATATTGTACTGGAAACCATGGGAATATATGAGCATGGTCATTTTAGAGAGAGTTTTGCCGGAGGGACGTAGTCTTATTGCATGATTCATAGCGAATGCACTCAGACTTTGTGCCCTATGCATAACCAAAGTGCATGTGGGATGGGGAGCATGAGTGTCTATTATGTAATTAATGTATATGATTCATAGAAATACACATCACAGCCATTTTACATAAAGCTTTGGGACTCATCCAGCAAGTTCTCAGCACATGCAAGGTTCAGAGCAGGGAGTACAGGTCAGGTTGTTCCTGCAGTCGCAGGAGGGTGAAGGAGGTATGGGTGTAGATGTCCCCAGGGTAGACATCCGTACCTGAGACAGTCACCCTCAGCTCCATTTTGAGTCGGAGGGAACAAACTGGCATTCGCAGGACTTGACCAGTCTGTAGATGAGCTCTGCTGGTCCCTGGCAGTGCTTTGGAAGAGCCTGTTTCTCTCCACGGGCTCTACAGCGAGCCTAGGTGAGTAGTTCAGGTACAGGCACGTCTAATCTGATCGTCTGCCTTTGGTGAGGTGATTTAAGAGATGATTTAACTGTCCCATAAACATATCCATATCACAGCCTTGTTACACTTCAGTCCTGGCTTAACCCTGCCGTGGTCTGCCTCACCCTGACCTCTACCTGCTCTGCAACTGCAGGGTTTGAGCTTGAGTTTAATTTTGTCGAGAATACTCCTGAGAAGGGAGGTGGGGAGACAACTTCTTCCCCTACACTTTTCCTAGACCTCCTTACCCTTCTGTCTAAACACGAGCCTCTTGCTTTTTGCTTAGCCTTTGAGAGAGACTTGTGAGGTCAAGGTCTTAAGCTGTTGGAGGACCTGCCCTGCAGGTCTAACACAACCACGTCCAGCACCGGCTGTGGAAGAGCCTGTCCTACGCAAATGTGTTTGACAAATGCCCATATGACAAAGGAGAAAATTAAAACCGAATCTAAATAGCAAGAAAAACCCACCAAACCTACCTTTTCCAGCCCTAGGCTCACACTCTTTGCAGATAGTTGTCAGTTGGGGATGCTGGCCTCATGCCACCATGCCCAAACTCTCCTGTCCCATGCGCTGGAGTCCCCACGGCATGCAGGGTGGATTTTACTGTCTTTATATTTACTGTGTCATTGACCAGAGACACACTGAGATAGATGAGGGACACGCTGGGCTCAACCTCTAAACAAAAGAAGTTTGCAGACCCATCCCTCTGAACTCAAATGGCCAGAAAGGAATATCTTTACCAATAAATTACATGCTGGTAGAGCCTGGGCCGTTAAACACTGTTACTGTTGAATTCTCAGCAAAGTTGGTTTTGAGCGGGGCTGGCCAGCACGCTCCCGAGCAGGTCCCAGCGTGGTTTGGAAATGAGCAGAGGCCCGAACCCCTTCCCGTGGGCAGCTCAGAGGCAGCCATCCCATTGTGGAGGTTAAAAGGATTTAATATTACAGCTCTGGCCAGACCATCCCAGCTGGATTTAGAGCCAGAAAATGGGCTCTGACCCTGGGCTGTTTGCTAGTGCGAGTGCAGCCAAGCTTTCCCATTAATTTGTCTCGCTCTGTAGATACCTCCGCATCGTTTTGGACCATCCTAGACCTTCATCGGATATTAAATTTAAAAAGCATTCCTGTTCTCCCAGCTCACTGAGGGCTGGCAAGTATAAATGCAACTCTGCAAACGCCAGCCATGCTCTAATCAGTGACAATACTGTGCCTTTACACAACTTAATTTTCATTCTTGTAAGCCTACAAATCTTAAAATACAAAACCACATATAATGGAAGCAACTCCAGCTGAACCTCTGGATTTAGT